CCTCTACTCTCTCCTAGTCCCCCCCGCCCCGCCTCTTCCTGTCCTACAGATTCCTCTTTTTCTTCTCTAGTTATCAGAAGTATAGTTCAGATCTCTGGAAGCAGGGATCTGCAAAAAATGTTATGAACAGTTAACATCTTACTTGTCACAGATGGCTTTTTGAATAGCTGTGTTGTGGAAGTAAAGTTGAATTCTGACCAAAGTGATGAGCTAATGGCTAGTCTGAGCAAATCCAAGATCAAACTTGATTTCTTTGTTCTTTAAAATAAAACTTCATTAATTTTTAGTCAGTTTTTTTAAGTAGTTTAACATGATTGTTTTTTTTTTATGATGACAGCAATCCACTTTGGTTTCTGCCCCCCTCAGACCGGCTGTTTGCTCATCAAGCTGGTCAAAATTAAATTCTTGTTTCTTTAATTTGCCGTCATTCAAAGAGCGATCCACAGCAGATATTTAACTGTTTATAACTTTTCCACAGACCCCTCTCTTAAAAGATCTAAATTCTTGTTCTAGCTCCTTTTTTGTTGTTATTATTATTTTCTCTCTTTTTCTACACTTCTCAGATTCTTCTTCCTTCTTTTCTCTTCTCCACCCCCATCTCTGACCCAGTCCAGCCTTCCTCCCATAGCAGCAAATGTGTGGTCCTGAATGCAGGGACTTTGGTCGTGACTGATTCTTTAGGGTAGAATGCAGTGGTGTGTTCATTTTATTTTATTTTTTTATAATTTATAGGGTTTTTGTCGACCTAATACTTGTTCTGAATTTGGGATAGCATGCTGTGTCTGTCAGTGATCGGTTGCTGTGAGAGTGTGCGTGTTTGCTCCTCTTTAATCCAACTGGCTGATTGTCTTCTTACACCTGTAGTTTTATTTTTAATTTTTTTTTTAATTTTTGGTGTGTCTGTTCACCAGCTGTTCATAAATAACTGCGCAATCATCTTGTGCCTCCCCCCTTCCCCTTCCTCTGACTGCGTGTCTTTGGAAGAGAACGGCGGTTGGACTTAATATTTGGCTGTGCAGCCTCTCTCCCTCTCTGTTTAAATCGGTGAGGAACGAGCACATCGGTGCTGCAAAACGTAAGAAAATGCCTCCAATTCTGGATCTTTTTATTTATTTATTTTTTGCTGAGTTGGACAGAGAGTGAGAGAGCCACACAGAGCCTGAGCTACATCCTTGTGAATGCTGTACTGCACCAGATTAGCCAGTTTTGCTGACTGTCTGCTTGTTAATATTTTGCTCTTCTCAGCAATTTTCCCCTCACAAAGTGTAACCCTTTAGATTCACTGCCAGTCTTTTTACTCTGCAGAAAAAAATATCGAGCAGTGAACAAAAGTTTCATCCTTTCTCTCTTTTCTTTTCCCACCTTTGTCCTTATTTCCTCTCTGTCCTCTCCCCTTCTTGCCTTTGCTCGTCCGCCTCCTCTTCCTCGCGTCCTCGCAGGGTGGCTATGCGGCGTATCGTTACGCCCAGCCGACGGCCGTAGCGACTCCTGCAGCAGCCGCCGCCGCGGCAGCAGCTTACAGTGACAGGTCAGTAAACTGTTCTCTACACCAGAGGTTCTCAAACTGGGGTCCCAGGACCCCCAGGAGTCCATGAGCTCCATCTTGAGGGTCCTCAAAAATTTTCAATAAATGGTTATTTTGGATTTTATTTGAAAAATTAACATGAGGAACAATGCACTAGTAAAACAAACATACAGCAGGTAAAAGAAGTATTGAACACGTCACCATTTTTCTCAGTAAATATATTACTAGAGGTGCTAATGACATGAAATTTTCACCAGATGTCGGTAACAACCCAAGTGATCCATACATACAAAGAAATCAAACCATAAATGTCCACAAATTAAGTTATTTGTAATAATGTGGAATGGCACAGGGAAAAAGTATTGAACACATGAAGAAAGGGAGGTGTAAAAAGGCATGGAAAGCCAAGACACCAGCTGAACTCTCTCAGTAATTTGAAAGCAAGTCTGCCCCTTGTCAGTGCAAATTAATATCAGCTGGTTCAGTCCCAAATGATGGCCAGGTATCACACAAGAACCATCTGATGATGGGTACAAGTAAAGAGCTCTCTCAAGACCTTCACAACCTTATTGTTGCAAAGCATAATGATGGCATCGGTTACAGAAGAATGTCTAAACTTCTGAAGGTTCCAGTGAGCACTGTTGGGGCCAWAATTCAGAAGTGGAAAGAACATTATTTCACCATAAACTGACCACGACCAGGTGCTCCTCACAAGATTTCTGACAGAGGAGTGAAAAGAATTATCAGAAGAGTTGTCCAAGAGCCAAGGACCACTTGTGGAGAGCTTCAGAAAGACCTGGAATTAGCAGGTACGTTTGTTTCAAAGAAAACAATAAGTAATGCACTGAACCACCATGGCCTGTATGCACGCTCACCACGCAAGACTCCACTGCTGAAGAAACAGCATGTTGAAGCTCCTTTAAAGTTTGCTGCACAACATTTAGACAAGCCTGTCTAATACTGGGAGAATATAGTCTGGTCAGATGAGACCAACATTGAACTGTTTGGATGCCAGAATACACATCATGTTTGGAGGTCAAATGGCACTGCACATCAGCCCAAAAACACCATACCAACAGTGAAGTTTGGAGGTGGGAACATCATGGTGTGAGGCTGTTTTTCAGCATATGGTACTGGCAAACTTCAAATAATTGAAGGAAGGATGAGTGGAAAAATGTACAGAGACATTCTTGATAAAAATCTGCTTCCATCTACCAGGATGATGAAGATGAAACGTGGCTGGACATTTCAGCAAGACAATGAGCCCAAACACAAAGCCAAGGAAACTCTCAGTTGGTTTCAGAGAAAGAAACTAAAGCTGCTGGAATGGCCCAGCCAATCACCTGACCTGAATCCAACAGAAAATCTATGGAAAGAAGTAAAGATCAGAGTTCATAGAAGAGGTCCACGAAACCTTCAAGATTTGAAGACTGTTTGTGTGGAAGAATGGGCCAAAATCACACCTGAGCAATGCATGCCACTAGTTTCTCCATACAGGAGGCATCTTGAAGCTGTCATTGACAACAAAGGCTTTTGTACAAAGTATTAGATAAATTTCAGTAAGTGTGTTCAATACTTTTTCTCTGTGCCATTCCACATTATTACAAATAACTTCATTTCTGGACATTWWKGKTTKRWTTYYTT